AAGTTCTATTTTAGTTTCATCTGACCATATGACATTCTCCCAATCCTCTTCTGGATCATCCAAATGCACTCTAGCAAACATCAGACGGGCCTGGACATGTACTAACTTAAGCAGGGGGACACGTCTGGCACTGCAGGATTTGAGTCCCTGGCGGCGTAGTGTGTTACTGATGGTAGGCTTTGTTACTTTGGTCCCAGCTCTCTGCAGGTCATTCACTAGGTCCCCCCGTGTGGTTCTGGGATTTTTGCTCACCGTTCTTGTGATCATTTTGACCCCACAGGGTGAGATCTTCGAGGGAGATTATCAGTGGTCTTGTATGTCTTCCATTTCCTAATAATTGCTCCCACAGTTGATTTCTTCAAACCAAGCTGCTTACCTATTGCAGATTCAGTCTTCCCAGCCTGGTGCAGGTCTACAATTTTGTTTCTGGTGTCCTTTGACAGCTCTTTGGTCTTGGCCATAGTGGAGTTTGGAGTGTGACTGTTTGAGGTTGTGGACAGGTGTCTTTTATACTGATAACAAGTTCAAACAGGTGCCATTAATACAGGTAACGAGTGGAGGACAGAGGAGCCTCTTAAAGAAGAAGTTACAGGTCTGTGAGAGCCAGAAATCTTGCTTGTTTGTAGGTGACCAAATACTTATTTTCCACCATAATTTGCAAATAAATTCATAAAAAATCCTACAATGTTATTTTCTGGATTTTTTTCTCTCAATTTGTCTGTCATAGTTGACGTGTACCTATGATGAAAATTACAGGCCTCTCTCATCTTTTTAAGTGGGAGAACTTGCGCAATTGGTGGCTGACTAAATACTTTTTTCCCCCACTGTAACAGTACCTAAGATGGGGAGAAGTCTGTCCATAATGAAGAGCTGCTCTGCCTTCTTAACAGCACTATCAACAAGGCAGGTCCTACAGGCCCTAGTTTTGTTGTACCTGGACTACTGTTCAGTCGCGTGGTCAGGTGCCACAAAGAGGGACTAAAAATAAAAATACACCTTATGGAACAGCGGGGACTGTGAAGAGACACACACATACGCACTATACACACATACACATGGATTTTGTGTTGTATATATGTGGTAGTAGAGTAGGGGCCTGAGGGCACACACTTAATATGTTGGGAAAAAACAGCTCCTGTAATATTGGAAGCATCGCATTAGTGGAAACCAAGATTGTTCTCAAGGCAGACCTGGTTGTAGCTAGATATGTTCGAGTCGCGATGGGGACAATTTTAGCTAACCCTAACCCTTGTCCTAACCTTAATCCTCTCGGGTGGTGTCGGGGCACGAGGCCGGGAGGCGGCTCACGGCCTGTCGGCAGGGTGACCGTTCGGTGGCGGACTACTCCGTGGAGTTCCGGACCCGGGCTCGAGAGGCAGGATGGGAGGAGGCCGCCCTGGTCATCCTTTACGCCCAGGGGCTATCGGAGGGGATGAAGGACGAACTCTCCTTCAGGGATCTGCCTGAGCGACTGGACGGCCTGGTTGTAGCTAGATATGTTCCAGTCGCGATGGGGACAATTTTAGCATTTTAGCTAACCCTTGTCCTAACCTTAATCTAATTATTTTAATCTGCCATGTTAATTCTCCTAACCTGCATAAGTTCTCCTAACCTGCTACAAAAAGTAACTTATGCTAGTCGAAAGTGGCAGACCCTGAGAACAGTCTTGGTGTCTGTTACAGGAGGGGGTCGCAGTTCCGGAGCCACCCACTAGGTGTCATCCTCCGACAACCTTAGGCACCTCCTCACTCACAGTCTGGACTAATCAGTATCCTATTGGTGTCACCTGTGTCTCCCTGTTCATCTGTGTCTACCTGTTCACCTGTGTCTACCTGTTCACCTGTGTCTACCTGTTCACCTGTGTCTACCTGTTCACCTGTGTCTCCCTGTTCACCTGTGTCTACCTGGTCACCTGTGTCTACCTGTTCACCTGTGTCTCCCTGTTCACCTGTGTCTCCCTGTTCACCTGTGTCTACCTGTTCACCTGTGTCTACCTGTTCACCTGTGTCTACCTGTTCACCTGTGTCTACCTGTCACCTGTGTCACCTGTCTACTGTTCACCTGTGTCTACCTGTTCACCTGTGTCTACCTGTTCACCTGTGTCTACCTGGTCACCTGTGTCTACCTGTTCACCTGTGTCTACCTGTTCACCTGTGTCTACCTGTTCACCTGTGTCTACCTGGTCACCTGTGTCTACCTGTTCACCTGTGTCTACCTGTTCACCTGTGTCTACCTGTTCACCTGTGTCTACCTGGTCACCTGTGTCTACCTGTTCACCTGTGTCTACCTGTTCACCTGTGTCTACCTGTTCACCTGTGTCTACCTGTTCACCTGTTCACCTGTGTCTACCTGTTCACCTGTGTCTACCTGTTCACCTGTGTATTTATGCCCTCACTTCCCTGTGTTCCCTTGCTCTGTTTTCTCTGCTAGTTTCACTATGCTAAGCAGTACTACTCAGTGTCTGATCGGAGATCTATGTACAGGTACTTGAGAAGTCTTCTCCCGGTTTCTTTATTATTTCAGTCATAGTTACCATTTCGTATTTTGGCTGTCTGCCTGTTTTTGGACACTTATTTGCTCCACCTTTCTTTATCGTGTTAAGTCCGGTGTTTTGTATCCTGGTTTCGGGACCACCAGTAAAGATCCTTGTTTCACCATCTCTGCCTGCTGCCTGCTGCCTGCTGCCTGCTGCCTGCTGCCTGCTGCCTGCTGTCTATCCTGCACCGCACCTGGCACCTACCCTTACTGGGTTAGGGTTAAACAAACTGCCCCCTATAGGCAGACAGCCATACGGGGGGGGGGGTTAACAAACTGCCCCCTATAGGCAGAAAGCCATACGGGGGGGGGGGGGGTTAAACAAAACTGCCCCCTATAGGCAGAAAGCCATACGGGGGGGGGGGGGGGTTAGACAAACTGCCCCCTATAGGCAGAAAGCCATACGGGGGGGGGGGGGGGGGGGGTTATGATATTGAGAACGGTGAGGAATCAGCCCAGAACTACACGGGAGGATCTTGTCAATGATATCAAGGCAGCTGGGACCATAGTCACCAAGAAAACAATCGGTAACACACTACGCCGTGAAGGACTGAAATCCTGCAGCGCCCACAAGGTCCCCCTGCTCAAGAAAGCACATATACAGGCCTGTCTGAAGTTTGCCAATGAACATCTGAATGATTCAGAGGAGAACTGGGTGAAAGTGTTGTGGTCAGATGAGACCAAAATCGAGCTCTTTGGTATCAACTCAACTCGCTGTGTTTGGAGGAGGAGGAATGCTGCCTATGACCCCAAGAACACCATCCCCACCGTCAAACATGGAGGTGGAAACATTATGCTTTGGGGGTGTTTTTCTGCTAAGAGGCCAGGACAACTTCACCGCATCAAAGGGACGATGGACAGGGCCATGTACCGTCAAATCTTGGGTGAGAACCTCCTTCCCTCAGCCAGGGCATTGAAAATGGGTCGTGGATGGGTATTCCAGCATGACAATGACCCAAAACACACGGCCAAGGCAACAAAGGAGTGGCTCAAGAAGAAGCACATTAAGGTCCTGGAGTGGCCTAGCCAGTCTCCAGACCTTAATCACATAGAAAATCTGTGGAGGGAGCTGAAGGTTCGAGTTGCCAAACGTCAGCCTCAAAACCTTAATGACTTGGAGAAGATCTGCAAAGAGGAGTGGGACAAAATTCCTCCTGAGATGTGTGCAAACCTGGTGGCCAACTACAAGAAACGTCTGACCTCTGTGATTGCCAACAAGGGTTTTGCCACCAAGTACTAAGTCATGTTTTGCAGAGGGGTCAAATACTTATTTCCCTCATTAAAATGCAAATACATTCATAACATTTTTGACATGCGTTTATCTGGATTTTGTTGTTGTTATTCTGTCTCTCACTGTTCAAATAAACCTACCATTAAAATTATAGACTGATCATTTCTTTGTCAGTGGGCAAACGTACAAAATCAGCAGGGGATCAAATACTTTTTTCCCTCACTGTACATGTGGGTGTGTTCTTACCTTAGGTCCAGTCCCTGGTTCTGCCAGATATTCTCCATGATCTTAATAATCTGCAGAGTCAGCATGTCCTGACGAAGATCTACACGCACACAAACACAGTTCAGAGGATGTTTTAGGGAATGTCAAACACAGTTCAGAGGATGTTTTAGGGAATGTCAAACACAGTTCAGAGGATGTTTTAGGGAATGTCAAACACAGTTCAGAGGATGTTTTAGGGAATGTCAAACACAGTTCAGAGGATGTTTTAGGGAGTGTCAAACACCGTTCAGAGGATGTTTTAGAGAGTGTCAAACACAGTTCAGAGGATGTTTTAGAGAGTGTCAAACACAGTTCAGAGGATGTTTTAGGGAATGTCAAACACAGTTCAGAGGATGTTTTAGGGAATGTCAAACACAGTTCAGAGGATGTTTTAGAGAGTGTCAAACACAGTTCAGAGGATGTTTTAGGGAGTGTCAAACACAGTTCAGAGGATGTTTTAGGGAGTGTCAAACACAGTTCAGAGAATGTTTTAGGGAGTGTCAAACACAATTCAGAGGATGTTTTAGAGAGTGTCAAACACAGTTCAGAGGATGTTTTAGGGAGTGTCAAACACAGTTCAGGGGATGTTTTAGGGAATGTCAAACACTGTTCAGAGGATTTTTAGGGAGGGTCAAACAAAGTTCAGAGGATGTTTTAGGGAGTGTCAAACACAATTCAGAGGATGTTTTAGAGAGTGTCAAACACAGTTCAGAGGATGTTTTAGGGTATGTCAAACACAGTTCAGAGGATGTTTTAGGGAGTGTCAAACACAGTTCAGAGGATGTTTTAGGGAATGTCAAACACAGTTCAGAGGATGTTTTAGGGAGTGTCAAACACAGTTCAGAGGATGTTTTAGGGAATGTCAAACACAGTTCAGAGGATGTTTTAGGGAATGTCAAACACTGTTCAGAGGATTTTTAGGGAGGGTCAAACAAAGTTCAGAGGATGTTTTAGGGAGTGTCAAACACAATTCAGAGGATGTTTTAGAGAGTGTCAAACACAGTTCAGAGGATGTTTTAGGGAATGTCAAACACAGTTCAGAGGATGTTTTAGGGAATGTCAAACACCGTTCAGAGGATGTTTTAGGGAATGTCAAACACAGTTCAGAGGATGTTTTAGGGAATGTCAAACACCGTTCAGAGGATGTTTTAGGGAGTGTCAAACACAGTTCAGAGGATGTTTTAGAGAATGTCAAACACAGTTCAGAGGATGTTTTAGGGAGTGTCAAACACAGTTCAGAGGATGTTTTAGGGAATGTCAAACACAGTTCAGAGGATGTTTTAGAGAATGTCAAACACAGTTCAGAGGATGTTTTAGGGAGGGTCAAACACAGTTCAGAGGATGTTTTAGGGAGTGTCAAACACAGTTCAGAGGATGTTTTAGGGAATGTCAAACACCGTTCAGAGGATGTTTTAGGGAATGTCAAACACCGTTCAGAGGATGTTTTAGGGAGTGTCAAACACAGTTCAGAGGATGTTTTAGGGAGTGTCAAACACAGTTCAGAGGATGTTTTAGGGAGTGTCAAACACAGTTCAGAGGATGTTTTAGGGAGTGTCAAACACAGTTCAGAGGATGTTTTAGGGAGTGTCAAACACAGTTCAGAGGATGTTTTAGGGAATGTCAAACACAGTTCAGAGGATGTTTTAGGGAGGGTCAAACACAGTTCAGAGGATGTTTTAGGGAGTGTCAAACACAGTTCAGAGGATGTTTTAGGGAGTGTCAAACACCGTTCAGAGGATGTTTTAGGGAGTGTCAAACACAGTTCAGAGCATATTTTAGAGAGTGTCAAACACAGTTCAGAGGATGTTTTAGGGAGTGTCAAACACAGTTCAGAGGATGTTTTAGAGAGTGTCAAACACAGTTCAGAGGATGTTTTAAGGAGTGTCAAACACAGTTCAGATGATGTTTTAGGGGGTGTCAAACACAGTTCAGAGGATGTTTTAGGGAGTGTCAAACACAGTTCAGAGGATGTTTTAGGGAGTGTCAAACACAGTTCAGAGGATGTTTTAGGGAGTGTCAAACACAGTTCAGAGGATGTTTTAGGGAGGGTCAAACACAGTTCAGAGGATGTTTTAGGGAATGTCAAACACTGTTCAGAGGATGTTTTAGGGAATGTCAAACACAGTTCAGAGGATGTTTTAGGGAGTGTCAAACACAGTTCAGAGGATGTTTTAGGGAGTGTCAAACACAGTTCAGAGGATGTTTTAGGGAATGTCAAACACTGTTCAGAGGATTTTTAGGGAGGGTCAAACAAAGTTCAGAGGATGTTTTAGGGAGTGTCAAACACAGTTCAGAGGATGTTTTAGGGAGTGTCAAACACAGTTCAGAGGATGTGTTTGACACTCCCTAAAACATCCTCTGAACTCTCTTGCTATCTCTCTCAGAATGACCTTCTTGATCCAAACCAATCAGGTTTCAGGACTGGTCATTCAACTGAGACTGCTCTTCTCTGTGTCACAGAGACTCTCCGCACTGCTAAAGCTAACTCTCTCTCCTCTGCTCTTGTCCTTCTAGATCTGTCTGCTGCCTTTGATACTGTGAACCATCAGATCCTCCTCTCCACCCTCTCCGAAATGGGCATCTCCGGCGCGGCTCACTCCTGGATTGCGTCCTACCTGACCGGTCGCTCCTACCAAGTGGCGTGGCGGGAAGCTGTCTCCGCACCACGTGCTCTCACCACTGGTGTCCCCCAGGGATCGGTTTTGGGCCCTCTCCTTTTCTCCCTATACACCAAGTCACTTGGCTCTGTCATATCCTCACATGGCCTTTCCTATCATTGCTACGCTGACGATACACAACTAATCTTCTCCTTTCCCCCTTCTGATCACCAGGTGGCGAATCGCATCTCTGCATGTCTGGCAGACATATCAGTATGGATGACGGATCACCACCTCAAGCTGAACCCTGGCAAGACGGAGCTGCTCTTCCTCCCCGGGAAGGACTGCCCGTTCCATGATCTCGCCATCACGGTAGACAACTCCGCTGTGTCCTCCTCCCAGAGTGCGAAGAGCCTAGGCGTGACCCTGGACAACACCCTGTCGTTCTCCGCCAACATCAAGGCGGTGACCCGCTCCTGCAGGTTCATGCTCTACAACATTCGGAGAGTGCGACCCTGCCTTACACAGGAAGCGGCGCAGGTCCTGGTCCAGGCACTTGTCATCTCCCGTCTGGACTACTGCAACTCGCTGTTGGCTGGGCTCCCTGCCTGTGCCATTAAACCCCTACAACTCATCCAGAATGCCGCAGCCCGTCTGGTGTTCAACCTTCCCAAGTTCTCTCACGTCACCCCCCTCCTCCGCACACTCCACTGGCTTCCAATTGAAGCTCGCATCCGCTACAAGACCATGGTGCTTGCCTTTGGAGCAGTGAGGGGAACGGCACCCCTGTACCTTCAGGCTCTGATCAGTCCCTACACCCAAACGAGGACATTGCGTTCATCCACCTCTGGCCTGCTGGCTCCCCTTCCTCTGCGGAAGCACAGCTCCCCCTCAGCCCAGTCAAAACTGTTCGCTGCTCTGGCACCCCAATGGTGGAACAAGCTCCCTCACGACGCCAGGACAGCGGAGTCACTCACCACCTTCCGGAGACATTTGAAACCCCACCTCTTTAAGGAATACCTGGGATAGGCTAAAGTATTCCTTCTAACCCCCCCCCCCCCCCCCCCCCCAAATTGTAAAGTGGTTATCCCACTGGCTATAGGGTGAACGCACCAATTTGTGAGTCGCTCTGGCTAAGAGCGTCTGCTAAATGACGTTAATGTGCCCTTGAGCAAGGCACTTAACCCTAATTGCTCCTGTAAGTCGCTCTGGTTAAGAGCGTCTGCTAAATGACTAAAATGTAAAATGTAAATGTAAATGTTTTAGGGAATGTCAAACACAGTTCAGAGGATGTTTTAGGGAGTGTCAAACACAGTTCAGAGGATGTTTTAGGGAATGTCAAACACTGTTCAGAAGATTTTTAGGGAGTGTCAAACACAGTTCAGAGGATGTTTTAGGGGGTGTCAAACACAGTTCAGAGGATGTTTTAGGGTATGTCAAACACAGTTCAGAGGATGTTTTAGGGAGTGTCAAACACAGTTCAGAGGATGTTTTAGGGAATGTCAAACACAGTTCAGAGGGTGTTTTAGGGAGTGTCAAACACAGTTCAGAGGATGTTTTAGGGAATGTCAAACACTGTTCAGAGGATTTTTAGGGAGTGTCAAACACAGTTCAGAGGATGTTTTAGGGGGTGTCAAACACAGTTCAGAGGATGTTTTAGGGAGTGTCAAACACAGTTCAGAGGATGTTTTAGGGAGTGTCAAACACAGTTCAGAGGATGTTTTAGGGAGTGTCAAACACAGTTCAGAGGATGTTTTAGGGAGGGTCAAACACAGTTCAGAGGATGTTTTAGGGAATGTCAAACACTGTTCAGAGGATGTTTTAGGGAATGTCAAACACAGTTCAGAGGATGTTTTAGGGAGTGTCAAACACAGTTCAGAGGATGTTTTAGGGAGTGTCAAACACAGTTCAGAGGATGTTTTAGGGAATGTCAAACACTGTTCAGAGGATTTTTAGGGAGGGTCAAACAAAGTTCAGAGGATGTTTTAGGGAGTGTCAAACACAATTCAGAGGATGTTTTAGGGAATGTCAAACACAGTTCAGAGGATGTTTTAGGGAATGTCAAACACCGTTCAGAGGATGTTTTAGGGAATGTCAAACACAGTTCAGAGGATGTTTTAGGGAATGTCAAACACCGTTCAGAGGATGTTTTAGGGAATGTCAAACACTGTTCAGAGGATGTTTTAGAGAATGTCAAACACAGTTCAGAGGATGTTTTAGGGAGTATCAAACACAGTTCAGAGGATGTTTTAGAGAATGTCAAACACAGTTCAGAGGATGTTTTAGGGAGTGTCAAACACAGTTCAGAGGATGTTTTAGAGAATGTCAAACACAGTTCAGAGGATGTTTTAGGGAGTGTCAAACACAGTTCAGAGGATGTTTTAGAGAATGTCAAACACAGTTCAGAGGATGTTTTAGGGAATGTCAAACACAGTTCAGAGGATGTTTTAGGGAGGGTCAAACACAGTTCAGAGGATGTTTTAGGGAGGGTCAAACACAGTTCAGAGGATGTTTTACGGAATGTCAAACACCGTTCAGAGGATGTTTTAGGGAGGGTCAAACACAGTTCAGAGGATGTTTTAGGGAGTGTCAAACACCGTTCAGAGGATGTTTTAGGGAATGTCAAACACAGTTCAGAGGATGTTTTAGGGAGTGTCAAACACAGTTCAGAGGATGTTTTAGGGAATGTCAAACACTGTTCAGAGGATTTTTAGGGAGGGTCAAACAAAGTTCAGAGGATGTTTTAGGGAGTGTCAAACACAATTCAGAGGATGTTTTAGAGAGTGTCAAACACAGTTCAGAGGATGTTTTAGGGAATGTCAAACACAGTTCAGAGGATGTTTTAGGGAATGTCAAACACCGTTCAGAGGATGTTTTAGGGAATGTCAAACACTGTTCAGAGGATGTTTTAGAGAATGTCAAACACAGTTCAGAGGATGTTTTAGGGAGTATCAAACACAGTTCAGAGGATGTTTTAGAGAATGTCAAACACAGTTCAGAGGATGTTTTAGGGAGTGTCAAACACAGTTCAGAGGATGTTTTAGGGAATGTCAAACACAGTTCAGAGGATGTTTTAGGGAGGGTCAAACACAGTTCAGAGGATGTTTTAGGGAGGGTCAAACACAGTTCAGAGGATGTTTTAGGGAATGTCAAACACCGTTCAGAGGATGTTTTAGGGAGTGTCAAACACAGTTCAGAGGATGTTTTAGGGAGTGTCAAACACCGTTCAGAGGATGTTTTAGGGAATGTCAAACACAGTTCAGAGGATATTTTAGAGAGTGTCAAACACAGTTCAGAGGATGTTTTAAGGAGTGTCAAACACAGTTCAGAGGATGTTTTAGGGGGTGTCAAACACAGTTCAGAGGATGTTTTAGGGAGTGTCAAACACCGTTCAGAGGATGTTTTAGGGAGTGTCAAACACAGTTCAGAGGATGTTTTAGAGAATGTCAAACACAGTTCAGAGGACGTTTTAGGGAATGTCAAACACAGTTCAGAGGATGTTTTAGAGAGTGTCAAACACAGTTCAGAGGATGTTTTAAGGAGTGTCAAACACAGTTCAGAGGATGTTTTAGGGAATGTCAAACACAGTTCAGAGGATGTTTTAGGGAGTGTCAAACACAGTTCAGAGGATGTTTTAGGGAATGTTAAAACAGTTCAGAGGATGTTTTAGAGAGTGTCAAACAGTTCAGAGGATGTTTTAGGGAGTGTCAAACACAGTTCAGAGGATGTTTTAGGGAGTGTCAAATACAGTTCAGAGGATGTTTTAGGGAGTGTCAAACACAGTTCAGAGGATGTTTTAGGGAGTGTCAAACACAGTTCAGAGGATGTTTTAGGGAGTGTCAAACACAGTTCAGAGGATGTTTTAGGGAATGTCAAACACAGTTCAGAGGATGTTTTAGAGAGTGTCAAACACAGTTCAGAGGATGTTTTAGGGAGTGTCAAACACAGTTCAGAGGATGTTTTAGGGAGTGTCAAACACCGTTCAGAGGATGTTTTAGGGAGTGTCAAACACAGTTCAGAGGATGTTTTAGGGAATGTCAAACACAGTTCAGAGGATGTTTTAGAGAGTGTCAAACACAGTTCAGAGGATGTTTTAGGGAATGTCAAACACAGTTCAGAGGATGTTTTAGGGAGTGTCAAACACAGTTCAGAGGATGTTTTAGGGAATGTCAAACACAGTTCAGAGGATGTTTTAGAGAGCGTCAAACACAGTTCAGAGGATGTTTTAGGGAATGTCAAACACAGTTCAGAGGATGTTTTAGAGTGTGTCAAACACAGTTCAGAGGATGTTTTAGGGAGGGTCAAACACAGTTCAGAGGATGTTTTAGGGAGTGTCAAACACTGTTCAGAGGATGTTTTAGGGAGTGTCAAAGTTCTGATATCAATAATACAATTACATAAACATATACACACTTCCCGAAACACACACACAAACACCCTATACCCCTCCCTCCCCCCTCACCATCTCCGTTCTTGAAGATGACCTCGTTGTTAGTAAACAGTAGTTCACTCATGATGTCAGGGTTATCCCAGTTCAGCCAGAGAGGACGCTTCGCTGAAGACATGATCCTACACTGCTCTAACCTGGGGGAGGGAGAGAACACAGTTCAGGAAGACATGATCCCTCACTGCTCTAACCTGGGGGAGGGAGAGAATACAGTTCAGGAAGACATGATCCCTCACTGCTCTAACCTGGGGGAGGGAGAGAATACAGTTCAGGAAGACATGATCCCTCACTGCTCTAACCTGGGGAGGGAGAGAATACAGTTCAGGAAGACATGATCCCTCACTGCTCTAACCTGGGGGAGGGAGAGAATACAGTTCAGGAAGACATGATCCCTCCCGGCTCTAACCTGGGGGAGGGAGAGATCACAGTTCAGGAAGACATGATCCCTCCCGGCTCTAACCTGGGGAGGGAGAGAATACAGTTCAGGAAGACATGATCCCTCACTGCTCTAACCTGGGGAGGGAGAGAATACAGTTCAGGAAGACATGATCCCTCACTGCTCTAACCTGGGGGAGGGAGAGATCACAGTTCAGGAAGACATGATCCCTCACTGCTCTAACCTGGGGAGGGAGAGAATACAGTTCAGGAAGACATGATCCTACACTGCTCTAACCTCCACTGGTCATATGGCTCGCTGGGTCAACAGGTAGAGTGCTCGCTCCAGCTGGCAAAGTATTTTGATCCCTTGACCTGGATCCCAAATGGCCGCCTGGGCCCGAGCTGGGATGCCCAGCCCAAAATGGACACCCACTGCACCAGACCGTCCCCGGTGCTAAGAGACCAACCTGGAGGTCGCCGAAGTGATGGCTGTCTTCATGGGGTGAGAACCGGGCGTGTGAAGGACCCAGCACCCTCAAAATAGTCTGTTTCCTAATATCTGCACACGGGTAACATAACCTGACATTCCCTGGGAGTCTCCGCCTTGGTTCTCTAGTTGTCGAAAACCAGGTTTCTGAAATCGCGCCGGTACCTGTCTGTTGGACCTGGACCCTCAGGGGCGGGCTGGGGGTCCATGGCCTGGTTGAGGGAGACTCAGGGAGGGGGGGACACCACTGGTTGTCTTACACCATTTTTAACCACAGGCACATGGGAACGCAATACAAATCAATGAGAGAGCTCTGCTGAAAAAGTCCAGCTTTTGCACCAGAGACTATGTCCAAACGAGCACTCACACATATGGGCCTTCTCCCTGGGGCCTATCAGACTTCCAGGCCCCCAATCACCTGCTGACCTCTCCCCCACCTGAGGCACCCCAGTGTCACTCGCACACATGGGCCTTCTCCCTGGGGCCACCAGGCGAACCGGGGCACCCGCACTTAAGCACCCATTTCCTGGCCACTAAGACCTCTATAGACCCGCTGTCAGGAACCACAAACACGCTCTGTGCACCTGGTAACCTGAAACACTCTCTATGCATTTGGTAACCTGATCACTTTTCTGCTCATAGACTAAGTCCCCACTATATGCTCCACCCCAGTCGGGAATCCCAGAACACCAGGCCTCCACACCTACTCTCACATCCCAGGCCAGCACCCTTCTCTGTGAACATAACCAATGACCAAATAACACACAGGTTCATTTCAAAGTAATCAACTTGATTTATTCACAAATGGATGAAGGATGTATTGCTGCGTTGATCATGGCTCCGGCCCTGCTGCCGTTATGAGGCAGTCGATGGAAGCGATAATAACAGGATTGCGTAGTCTTGATTAAATAAAGTTCATTGTCCCAATGCTGTGACTGAGTTTTACCAGCAGGACGTGAAAAATAAATGCTCCATCTCCCCTCCTCAGCTGCTCAAAAAAGGCCTGAGCGCGTGGAACCACCTCTGCCAAGCGTACTCTTCGGCCAGCATTATAATTCGACACTCGCCGAAGCTTTAGTTCATTTTATGGCTTGCAACACATAGCTGATGGCTTTCCGGGGATATTTCCATATATTATATTTCACTGAACATGGTCAATGTGGATCGCCTTGTCCCGTTCCATATTGCTAACGGCAATTTATGAGAGCCGCAAACCTTCGTCTGTCAGAGCAGGTAGCTCGGGCTTCCAGTCTTTCGAGAACTGCTGGAATAGCTTGTGAACTCAACTGCTCGGCGCTGAGAACCCCTTCTCTACAGCTCTCTGTCTGGGCTGAGAACCCCTTCTCTACAGCTCTCTGTGTGGGCTGACAATCCCTTTTCGGTCGAAACTGCAGAAGTTTCAACCCGCTAGATTTTCGACGTGGAAGCAGCAAGCTGCGCTCTTAGCACTGACTGTACTATTCGGACACACGCCTGTACTTAGCCGTGCAACACAGTCCTTCGTCTGCATTGCCCCCGGACAGTATTTGTAGGAATTCCCGCACTCATATTGGCTGGAGCGGGTATTGTCCGAGCACTTCGCAAAATGGTCTTTACCAACGAGAAACCCTTCATATTCAGTCAAAATGTTATGTTTTTTCCCTCTCTTCCATTGAGGTCTTGGAGCCTCAGTAGTGGATGAAACCGCCCCGCTCTGATTGCTCTCTCTCGCTCTCCGTCGTTTCCTCCGTTGCGTCACACTAGCACACCCGCTCTAATGCGACGGCTGCTCTGGTCAGGGCTGCTGTCTGTCGGCTGAGAGCTGGCTCCATTCAATAGTACCAGACTTAGTTGGTGGGCAAGTTTACAATGTAGTTGTGCCTCTCTCCTGCTTCACCTAACCCTCTCTCCTCTCCACCCTAACCCTCTCTCCTCTCCACCCTAACCCTCTCTCCTGCTTCACCTAACCCTCTCTCCTCCCACCCTAACCCTCTCCTGCTCCACCCTAACCCTCCTCCTTCTTCACACTACCCCTCTCTCTCTCCTGCTTCACCTAACCCGCTCTCTCCTGCTTCATCACTCCCTCTCTCCTCTCCACCTAACCCTCTCTCCTGCTTCACCTAACCCTCTCTCCTCCCACCCTAACCCTCTCTCCTGCTTCACCCTAACCCTCTCTCCTGCTTCACCTAACCCTCTCTCCTCTCCACCCTAACCCTCTCTCCTCTCCACCCTAACCCTCTCTCCTGCTTCACCTAACCCTCTCTCCTCTCCACCCTAACCCTCTCTCTGCTCCACCCTAACCCTCCCCCCCCAACCCCCTCCCCCACCAAATAACCTCCTCCTGTTCAACCTAAACCCTCTCTCTCCACCCTAACCCTCTCTCTCTCCCCACCCAAACCCTCTCTCTCTCACCCTAAACCTCTCTCCTCCCACCCACCCTTCTCCGCTACAACCAACCCTCTCCGGTCACCTAAACCTTCTCCTCTCCACCTAAACCTCTCTCTGCTCCCCCCAACCCCCCCCCCTCCCCCCTTTGTCCCCTACCCCCCCTAACCTCCCCTCCTGCCCCAACCAACCTTTTCCCGCTCCACCCCCCCCTAACCTTCCCTCTCACCCTAACCCCTGCTCCACCCTAACCCTAACCCCCCTCCCCACCCCCCCTCCCCCTTGAACCCTAACCCCCTCCTCTCCAACCTAACCCTCTTCTGCTCCCCCTACCCTTTCCCTCCCCCCCCAACCAACCCCTTTTCCTCTCCACCCTAACCCTTTCCTGTCCACCCAAATTAACCCTTTCCCTGCTCCACCCCCAACCCCCCCTGCTCCCCCCCTACCCCCTCCTCTCCCCCCTAACCCAACCCCCCCCCCGCCCCCACCCTACCCTCTCCCTGCCCCCCACCCTACCTCCCCCCTGCCCAAACCTAACCCCCTCTCCTCCCCCTAACCCCCTTCTGCTCCCCCCTAACCCCTCTCCCCTTCCCCCCAACCCTCCCCCTCTCCCCCTACCCTCTCCCCGGCTCCACCCAAAACCCTTTATGCTCCACCCTAACCCTCTTCCCTCCCCCCCCAAAAACCCCTCCCCCTTAAACCCAACCCTTTCCCCCATTTTTTTTTTCTTTCCCTCCCTTTTCTTCCCTTTTTTGTCCACCCTAACCTCCTCCTCTCCACCCCCCCTCTCTCTCCCCCACCAACCCCCCTCCCCCCTCCCTCTCCCTCTCCCCCCCTAACCTTTTCCCTTCCTCTCCACCCAACCCCTTCTCTCCCCCCTCCCCCCCAAAACCCAAAACCCTCTCTCCTGCTCCACCCTAACCCTAACCCTCCCCCAAACCCACCCAACCCCCTGCTCCACCCAAAACCCTAACCCTTCTCCTGCTCCACCCTACCCCCCCTCCCCCTTTGCCCCACCCTAACCCTAATTCTCCCCTACTCCAACCTAACCCTTTAACCCTTCCCCGCCCCCCCAACCCTCTCCCTGCTCCCCCCAAAACAAACCCTCCCCTCTCCACCCAAAACCCCTGCCTGCTCCCCCCTAATCAACCCTTCTCCTTCCCCCCTAACCCTAACCCCCTCCTTCCCCCATCCCCCCTTCCTGCTCCCCCCAACCCAAACCCCTCCCCCCTGTCCACCCAAAACCTCTTGCCTGCTTAGGGACCCTCTGCCCCCCCTAACCAACCCTCGGGCTGCTCCCCAACCCCCCTCTCCCCTCCCCCCAACCCCCTTTTCTCCCCTCCCCCAAAAACCCCAACCCCCTCTGCTCACCCTTCCCCAAACCCGTCCCCCCAAAACCTCCCCCTCCCCCCCCTGCCCCCCCCCTTTACCCTTTCCCCTGTCCCCCCTAACCCTCTCTTGTCCCCCCTAACCCAACCTCTGGGCCCACCCTAACCCCTCCTGCTCCACCCCAACCAAAACCTCTCCCCTGCTAACCCCTAAAACCTAACCCTCACCCTCCACCCTAACCCCCCCCCCGCTCCACCCAAACCCCAAAACCCCTTTCCCTGCTAACCCCAAACCCAACCTACCCCTGCTCCACCCTAACCCCCCCTGCCCCACCCTAACCCCTCTGTGCCCCCCCTAACCCTTCCCATGCTCACCCAAACCCCTCCCCCCTGCTCCCCCCCCAACCCTTCCCCTGCTGCACCCAACCCAAACCCCTTTCCTGCCCCACCCTAATCCAAACCCCTCATTCTGCTCCACCTAACCCTTTTCCGTCACCATAACTCAAACCCTCTTTTTCCCCCCCTAACCCAACCCCCCCTATCCCCCCTAACCCAACCCCGCCCCAGCCCCCAACCCCCTCCGATGCCCCACCCAAACCCTTTTGACTGTCCACCCTAACCCTCTCCCAGTCCACCCTAACCCAACCTTCCCGCTCCACCTAACCCCCCTCCTGCTCCCCCCAAACCCTAACCCTCCCCCTATCCCCCCCAAACCCTTCCCCGCTCCCCCCAAAACCCCAAAAACCCCTCTCCCTGCTCCCCCTAACCCTCTACTGTCCACAAACCCCTCAGTCTGCTCACCTAACCCCTCTTGTGCTCCACCCTAACCCTCTCCCGCCCCACCCAAACCCTATCTCCTGCCCACCCAACCCTCCCCCTCCCCCCGCTCCACCCTAACCCTAACCTTTCCCTGTGCACCCAAACCCTAACCCCCCCCCCCCTGCTCCCCCCAAACCCCTAACCCCATCCCCTGCTCCCCCAACCTCTCTCCTGCCCCCCCTAACCTCAGTCCCCACCCAACCCTCTCCCGCTCCCCCCAAAAACCCCTTTCCTGCGCACCCAACCCAACCCTCCCCCCGCTCCCCCCCAAAACCCTAACCCCTTCCCCTACCCCCCCAAAACCCAAACCCTTCCCCGGCCACCAACCCAAACCCCTTCCTCCTATCCACCCTCCCCTAACCCTCTCCTGCCGCCACCTAACCCTAACCCTTTCCGCGCCCCCCAACCTAACCCTCCTCCTACTCCCCCCTAAAAATTTGTCATTTAAACTTAAGGGGGGTGGGGACGTCCCAAGGACCCGAATAGCTGGATGTGTAGGTTGTGGGGGTTACTGAGGTTTCCTTTGGTGAAAAAGGGTGTGCTCCCTGAGGTTTCCTAGGGGGGAAAAGGGGTTTTAGGGGAGAGACGAACCCCTTGAGAGCTCCATGTAGCCCGGGCCTCAAAATTGGTTCCCCCAGGAACTTCATTGGGTCGAAAACCAAAAAAAGGTTAAGATAAATCACCAATTAACGCGGGTGACACATAACCAATAAACAGCGGGGTTTAGACACATCAAAATAAACATGCAGGGTAGACAATAACCAATCAACAGTAGGGTTAAACTATCAACCAATCAACAGCAAGGTTTGAAACAACCAAAAAAATGCAGGGTTGCACATCAACCAAACAACAGCGGGGTTTTAGAATCAACATGTGGGTTAGACCAAAAAACCATCAACGTGAGGGTTAGACAATCAAAACCAATAACATGCGGGTTTAGACAATCAACCCAAATAAAAAAAATAGGGTTAGAACGTAAAAACAATCAACACGAGTCACAAAACCATAACACTACCCATCAAAAAGGGAAAAAGAAAAGAAAGTGTATGAAAAACCCAGTAGCATTTGGTATGTTTGGGTGTAAGTAAACCCTTAGGGGTGTGTGGGGTTCCCTTTCTGTGTCTCATTTTCTCCTTTTCAGTTGTCTGTTAGGTTCCCCAGTTTATCCTTTCCCCTCCACCGGGAAAAAATAAAAATAATTTTTCAGTGTGTCTTGGGTTTCACCAGGTAATCCATCCCCTCCACCGGGAAATAATTAATAAAATA